AGTGTCAGATAGCTTATTGCTAATTCATGTAAACACAGTCAAATTAATTTGTATTAGCAGGTGCACCTGACCGACCCAGGGAGCAGCACTGTTTTGCATTTTCTGTGTGAATCCTGTAAATCTTTCTGCCTCCAGGTTTTCCTGAGCCTTTCCTAACCCTTGCCCAATGTAGGTCTTAAAGGGGTCTTTAAATTTCTATATTAGTGTTTTTATGTTGCTCAATTGATGGAGCATAGCACTAACAACATGCTAAGTAAATTTTACTTTTACACAAATAAGTTTAAACTGACGCTACCCATTAAAAGTTTGGGGTCGGTATGATTTTTTTTGTGTTTTTGAAAGAAGTCCCCTCACCAAGGCTGATTTATTAGGCGCTACACACAGATAAGAACAGCACAGTGTAGGTGAACATTTGTGACCCTGGACCACAAAACCAGTCTTAAGTCGCTGGGATATATTTGTAGCAATAGCCAAAAATACATTGTATGGGTCAAAATTATAGATTTTTCTTTTATGCCAAAAATCATTAGGATATTAAGTAAAGATCATGTTCCATGAAGATATTTTGTAAATTTCCTTCTGTAAATATATGAAAACTTAATTTTTGATTAGTAATATGCATTACTAAGAACTTCATTTGGACAACTTTAAAGCCAATTTTCTCAATTTTATTTTTATTTTTTTGCAGATTCCAGATTTTCAAATAATTGTATCTCGGCCAAATATTGTCCTATCATAAACCATACATCAATGGAAAGCTTATTTATTCAGCTTTTAGCTTTCGAAAAATGTATCCTTATGAGGTTTTGTGGTCCAGGGTCACATTTGTGGAATCAAGGATCAGAAAATGAAAGAATAATTAAATTTGTAGAGTAAATAGTTTTAGAGCTGTCTGGTGTAATGTTTTTCAAATGCAAATACGCACACTCACCGTCTCTATGGAAATGTCGCTTGCATTGTGTGTTTTGTATCAGCCTCTTGTGCCACATCTCAGTCAAGCTTGGCTTATGTGCTGTGACAAATCAACAGCTTGTACCGCTGTCAAAACTCCTCGATGACTTCAGGGGCTTTTCAGCACATAACCTGCCATCAGGCTAATGAAGTGAGTCAGCTCTGGCGATCCTCAAGAGGTAAAGATCTAACAAAACACTGCTGTGCCTTCGGTGACAGGACATGATGTTGCTGGCATCTGACATCCTTTTCAAGATGTGTCTCAGCCATTTACAACCGAAATGGCTTTTTGTCCTGCTGTCTAAGGTGACCTCAGTTTCATTTGGTTTTTAACAGTATGCAAATTGTCACTTTTCTGTGCAGCATGAGCAGATGCTTCACTGTTCTCCTTAGTTGGATGTCATGTGGTCCTCACATAGTCTTGTGATCTTCTGTGACCTCTGCACATAAGAGGTTCAGACCTTCAAGTAATAGTGTTACACACTGTAGCCAAAACAATGAATATCATCACAAATTCTGGTACACACTGCAGCATGTTTTGGTCAAAAACACCTTTTTGGGTTGATAAATCTGAAATTATTAGCATTTTATCAATAATGTTCTACTGAATCCCTCAACACTAGGGCTGTGCGATATGGACAAAAAAACCCTATCGCGATTTCTTTGATCAATTTTGTGATTTCGATTTTAATCACGATTTTGACACACACAGACATGTTTTACAGTCATAAATGCATTGTGTGAATTTGAAACATATTTCCAAAAGAAAACCAATTAGAGCTTTATCAAAAAGCTGTAACACGTCTCTAGAACAGACATAAGGCAAAATAATCACTAATTAAATGTGTAACAAAATGTCTCTAGAATAGACATATGGCAGAAGAGAAAAAAAAATCCCCCGTGTCCAGGGATTTTTTTTTGCCATGCATTGGTCATAGAGCTCTTTGTGGCGTTGCCTCAGATGTTGAACTAGATTTGTTGCGCCAAGTTCACACGTACTCCGTCTGCAGTGTGTATACAGTATGTGTATGCGGTGCAGAAGCAGCACGGACTCATTTTGCTTTCGCACAGGACGCGTTTGCAGTCCGCTCCTGATCCGCAGCTGTTTACCACAAACATAACATTTAGCCATTATTTTGATTTCAAATCCAAACGTTGTTTCTGAAAATGCTTTTTCAGCATTGTGATTCTCTTTTATCACAGTACAGTAATACAATCTTTCATAGACATATTCACGCTTAAACTCAATAAATATAACTTTGTTTAACTACCACCACGAGTGCCATCTATTATTGCCTTGTTTATCTAAAAGTGCACTTTTCCTTGTTTTAAATCTAGCCAAAAATCCATGTGTTGACTGTGAAACAGTAGACTTTAATTATATGCATTTATGGTGTAATTACTAAATTTCCGTGCCAATCCATGTTATTTTTTACCGCGAATAATGCGCTGTCACTTTTAGCGCGACAGCAGAAATAGATTCCGTGTGGAAACGATCGCAGCATGACTGCTGCAGACGCACCGCTCCTGGAGCGCACTGCCAGAGCGCAATCGCGTGCAGTGTTAACGCTCTGATCCGTTAACATGGGCGCAGACAAAATACGCACCACAGACGAAGTGTGTGAACCTGGCGTTACGTTTGTATGCCCGCCCGGTCTGTTCTGTTCTCGTGCTCCATTTAGGCGCGCTGCATTCTGATTAGTTCGGATAGCATACTGCGGGAGGTCGGGGGCGCGGAAAATCGTGCTATAAAGCGATTTAGAAATCGCACACACTCAAATCATGATTTTATGACGATTTCGATTAATCGCACAGCCCTACTCGACACTCTCAAATATCAAGACTCTTTTTTGGCATCTATAGGCACTTTCGTACCACGTAGTTCTAGGAACTAGCCAGCAGGGTGGTTCTTAGAGAACCAATTTCCCCCTCAGGCCGTTTTCCTGGTTGCATTTGCACGTCTTTATTCACGGCATTTACAAATGTCAACAACTGGTGAATGGAGGACGCCATGATCGGAGCTGTATTTGTTGTGTGTTGTGGGTTTCGTGATAACAGAGATGGAATGTAAACGCTCAATTTATGTGATCGAAAGAGCACGAAAACCTTACTAAAGGCCTGTTCACACCAAGGACGATAACTATAAAGATAACGATAAAGATATAGTTCTAAGAATTGTTCTCAATATTAAAGAATAGCAGAGTCCCCACCACAACTATAACGATAAAGACAAAGAGAAACGATATCGTTGGAATCACTTTCAAAACGATTTTTCTCCAGCTGATGAACGATAAAAAAATTAACAGCCAATCAGAATCCATCCTGCTGTAACAAGCTCAAGAATTTAAAGCTGCAAATGTGCGTCCGCTTAGAATAAACAGACGATATCGTTTGCTGGTGTGGACGCTAATATCGTTATCTTTATAGTTATTGTTCTTGGTGTACGATAACTTGCAGTGTTACATATCGAAGTTGAGAAAAGCACACAACGCTGCAGACAACAAGTAGTTAAATGCCGTTATCGCTGTTTTTCATGTTTGTGGAGTAAATTATTCTTTTTTGTATTTCTTTTTTAAAATGCTGGGTAGCCGGTGTTTCGTATGCGTTTGGTCAATCAATATACACCTACATCACTGGTAGTCCTTATAGAACTGTTTTAGATCCTATTCTGAAGTAGGAGCTAATTTAGTTCCCTCAAACGGAGTTCCTAGTTCCTGCTGTGCGAACACGCCAAAAAGCGGGTACTTCCACCAATAGTTCTAGGAACTATGAAAAGGTTCCTCTGGTGTGAAAACCCCTTGTGGTTCCATGAAGAACCTTTAACACTCATGGAACTTTTCCATTCCGCAAAACGTTCTTTATAGTGGAAAAAGGTTTCTATAGAAAAAATGGTTCTTTTAAGAACTGTTCACTGAATGGTTCTTCTGTGGCATTTATTTTAAGAGCGTACTGAATGCCTCAAACTACATTATATGATGTATCTGTAACTATAAACCCTGTCTTTCATAGATTCACTGCCAAGAAAGTTGCAAATCATGCCAAAATGCCATGAATCCAGTCACTAGTTCCTACTCAAAAGTGATCATTGTGGTAGAAGGGGAATTTGCAAACACAACTGACTTTTTTGAAAAAACCTGCCCACTTTGACTCCTGGAAATTGTGTAAGTCGGCCAATAACATTGGAGCTTGCCGTTTTGAGACTATCTTGCCACTTTTGTGTGCAATATCCGACAGAAAGTGCCTGAATGATATGCAGGCTTGCCATCTGAAGGTGCTTTCATACCGACAGTGAAAAAATCTCTCAAAGTCGCCCTCCAGAAGTCATCTCTCATTGAAAATGCTTTTCAATGCTTTCAAGCTGTTTATTTCAGGTATGTTAGACCAAACATCAAATTCCAACGTCACTATATTATATTTATGGTCCTGTTTTTATTAATTGCTATTAACTGTAGGTCCACCTCATGCAAAATTCAGTTTAATAATAAAATAATAATCTGGTTTCAGTCAGGATGAATAGATCATTATCAGCTCGTAAAACAAAGCACTAAAAACCGTTACGTGCCTTCAGACAGACATTCATATGTGTCCAGACTGGCATGGAGGAACAGATTGTGTGCCAAATAGCAGGGGAGTTTTAATTGATTTAGGATCGGCTGGTAAAAGTGACGTGAGCTGAGTGCAGTCGATGTGATGAGAAATAATGTGTTTGAACTGAGGCATTGGCTTGAGTCAAATTACCGGCCAGTGGAGGGAGGGAACAAAAACTAATGGCTTGATTCTACTCCATGCAGTGTGTGTTACTGAGCCGTACTCTTTCACAGTCTGCATTCACACACACACATACACATACACACCTGTGGCTTTTTCAGCATATTGTATTGCATACTAACTAATCAATTCCTTTTCAGCTGGAGCAGTCAGTGATGCTGAGCATTTCTAATTTGATCTTCTGAAGAACTCTTGTAACAAATGCGCCACTGTGAATGATATGATTGACTTGAGTTGTTAATGCTCCTGCTTTAGTTCTGAGGATTTTTGTTTGTCCACAGGAAACAAGATGGCAGAATCCCGCGAATATCTGACCCGTTAGAACGTCCTGGTCTGGGCAAGTCCTTTCCGCCATCACCTGCTCCGACTCTTCTAAAGGTTTGGCAGGTTTGAACATTTCACTCCTCTTTGCTCTAATCATGTTACATTCCAGCAGAGCCTTGGGTTCAGTCGGAGAAGTGGAAGGAATATCAAATGACTGCCTTCTCTCATTTATTTCTTCCTGCTGTTCACCTGTCTTTTCCTTTTTCTTGTGACAACCATCTATTACAAATAGATGTGCTGCTTCTTTTTGTGTGTGCATACTACATGTAACCTATTTTTCTTTTGATCATTTTGTTGATTTCTGTGGAAGACTTGATTTTTGGAGTGTCACAAAAAATAAAAGGATGAAATCAGTCATCTAATTATTAATTTAAAATGAAAAATGTACAATACTGTTTGTATTAAAAAAAAAGAAATTAATACTTTTATTCAGCAAGGATGCAATTAACTATTTAAAAGTGACAGTAAAGACCATTATAATGTTAAAAGATTTCTTTTTCAAATAAATGCTGTTCCTTTGAACTTTCTGTTCATCAAACCATCCTGAAAAAATGTATCATGGCTCCCACAAAATTAAGCAGCACAAAGGGTTTCACATCAGCATATTAGAATGATTTCTGAAGGATCAACACTGAAGACTGGAGTAATGATGTTGAAAATTCAGCTTTGCCATCACAGGAACATTTTAAAATATATTTCAAAAGAAAATAGTTATTTTAAAGTGCAATAATATTTCACAATATTGGTATTTTTACTGTTTTTTTTTAAAAATCAAACACGTAGCATAAGATTTCTTTCAAAAACATAAAAAATCTTACCGACCCAAAACTTTTGAACGGTATTGTAAATAAATAATCACTTTTCAAACACTTGGCATACTACAAAACACAAACGTATAACTTTTGACTGAATTTTATAAAAAAATATATATATTTTTTTGGTAGCCATAATATGCCAAAGGGATGTGTTTAAAATAAATTGAAAGTTGGTTGGTTAAACCAATTCTCTGTGGCAAATAGATGGAAACTATTAAAATAGATATTATTTTATGAATTCATAATTGATTCCTTCATTTTATTTTAGGCAGTCCTCGCAGTCCTCCACAGAAAGGATTCTTTTGTAATTCATGCTTAATCGGTGTGTCACCAGATAATTCTGCGCTCCAAGATTCCCCCTCAAGGACCAACATCCAAGTTTAACTTTAGAAATTATCCTTTGTTGAGGAACGGAATGCTAATTTGATCCAAAAAGAAATCAAAGCTCCTGCAGGCATCAAGATCTCCCGAAGAACTGCCAATTAAACACTTCAGTAGCTTTGGCATCTTTTAGTGTGAGCTGACCTGGTGGTGGTCCATTAGGGATCATTCAGGGAGGCTTTAAATGTATTTTTGAGGAGGTTCAGCCTCTCTCGTCTCCACTGACGGACCCCCACTGAGCAGAACCTCAAAAAGTACTGCTCATTTGTCATTTAATATTAAATGTCAAATAAGTCTTTAACCAGTTTTATTATCTGAAGATGAACCATCGCTAGCTCTTCTCCAGGGATACCTATTCCCCTCATTTAACACCCAAGTGCTTTTTAATTGAACCCATCCGTGTCTCTGAGCAGCTCTGAGAGCCATTAGCACAAGGGCTTCTGGGAGCCAGGAGGACTTAAGTGTCCGTGTTTAGGGATGTCCTAGAATCATTAGTGTCTCGATGGCATTGTGAGAGGTTGAATAAGATTAGCTCAGTCTAGATTGTGTAGTTAAGCATTTATGTATTTCACTAAGAGTCTCATAATGCAAGATGCTTATACAATCAGCTTAGCATCTTTGCAGAGCCACACTGGGATTATAATGGCTGTGAATTTAGTTTTAGCATGATCCAAGTGAAATTGGATTGTAAACAAGTTACCTTAGTGTGCATTTTTTTATTGAATGTTTATTGCCTGTGGATTATGAACTTTGCATTAGGGTTTTGTTGTATTCCCTAACTACTAATAGTAAGCAAGGTTGTATAATGCAAAATAAGGTTTTATTGTACACGGAGTTGACTAATTTGATTCAGAATTTAAAAATCCTAGGTATCTTATCAAATAAATATTGCAAATGGGTTCTTTTCAATATCTCAGTTGTTCCACTTGAGAGCAAATTGAGACTTTTAAATGGCAAATGTTTCCTTATATTTGTTTTTGGGCCCCTGAAAGCATTAAATGGACTAATTTATTCCTGTCTGCTGGCCTTCATGTCACAGCTCAAGATTGACTGAAATGGCATGGAAATGCATTAATAGTGCATTATTTTAATGCAGTGCAAGAGTAATTCATAACATGGCATTTACACCTCATTTACAATATTTGATGAGAAAATAACAACTTAAACAACTAGAGATTTTATCTGACATAACATAAGTTAAAGTACTAGAATTGCTAACACTAAAACTGAAATAAAAATAAATTAAAGCTAAATAGAAGCTAATAAAAATTACAAAAGCACATAACACAATGACTAAAACTTAAACTAGAATTAAAATAAAAACTGAAAATATAAACGAATAAAAGCTCATTCAAAATATTTATGAATAAATATTAATACAATATTTATTCTCTGTGCCAGATAAGCAACTGCCATCGAGATCCAGGTATTATAGACCATGTTGGTTGCTGACATCCCATTTCCTCACTTTTGACAATTTTCTCCTTTAAAAAATGCTGGTATTGAATAGTAAACACCTCTATAGTTTAAGAAGAGATCTCAAAATATTGCACATTATGCAAGAGATTTTAGAGATTTCAAAATGAAATCAAAACATTTCTCATCAGTCATGCTTTTTCCAAATTAATTATACAACTCTATACTATAAGTGAGCAATTGTCTCATTTCTATCTGTTTTTATTTGTCCTATGTAATGTTATGAGGAACATCTCAGACAAAGTTGACACTGAAATGAAAATAGATCTGAAAAAGTCTCAGCGACCTCTGAAAATTTTTATTTACCTCTGGGAACAGGCATTACATAGAAACCTGCCTCACAGGAATACAATTCTGGGTTTCCCATACCAATGCCTTCCAGAGTCTGTAAACACCTTGATCCTGGGGACAGGAGGGAGGATGATCCCAGATTCAGTGGTTTTGGATGCTACATTAAATTCCCCTGAATCCCAGAGCAATAACAGCGTTACAACAGGATGGTTTTACCACAACACCACCAAGCAACTTTTGTATGAAGATATTAGAAAACATAGAAGTTCATTTTGAATGAGGCTTACATCCAACACTAACCCAACTAACTTTGCTTTGGTTGCACATTATTCACTTTTATAGCCATTTTCGAAGCTGTTTTCTGTCATATTGCCTTAATAAACAGCCTGCCTGCCTACGACACTCATGCTGTTGTGGTATTTCTGTAATATGGTGTTGGCAAATGCATTATAATTGTGCAACATGGCCGTAATGTGACAACAGGAAGTCATATTATTTTTCAGCAACTGTGACATTGTCATCTTACCATTTTACATTTTTAGCCTGCTTTTAGAAGTATTCCTGACAGATACACTATAACATAATGGGAAATATTTGCAGCTATATATTACATTAGATATTTAGAGAATGAAGAAAGAGAAGCTTGCACATCAAAGCATAAACGCACAAAATCTCACCTGTTATTCTACAGTATTGCTATAACACTATTGAGGTAACATCATAAGGTCACTCGAAGGTCTTTGATTTAGATAAAAGAAAAAGTCATGAGATTTCACAGACCCGCTTGAGAAAGCATGCAAACCTTCATAAGCCAGTCATTAGGTATTTTCAAGTATTGAAAAGAGCCATTTTGACATTTTGATAATTGGTGATTTATGCAACAGTCTTTTGGACAATTTAATTGTGCAATTTTGTTATCGAAGATACAAGGACATTTTTTTTGCATGTCCTTTGGCTGGTGAATCTGAGGAGGCATGTGTGGTTTGAATGGGCATGACGCTTCTGGGCTCACACACACACACACACACACACACACACATCCATGTCACTTACCAGGCTGTTTCGTATGGCATGCTTGACTAGAATAGGGGAATTGGTGATTTATGCAACAGTCTTTTGGACAATTTAATTGTGCAATTTTGTTATCAAAGATACAAGGACATTTTTTTTGCATGTCCTTTGGCTGGTGAATCTGAGGAGGCATGTGTGGTTTGAATGGGCATGACGCTTCTGGGCTCACACACACACACACACACACACACATCCACATGTCACTTACCAGGCTGTTTCGTATGGCATGCTTGACTAGAATAGGGGAAGTTGTAGCAGATTGAGGAAGCTATCTGCCTTTTTCTTGCATTCCCCGCTGCTTTTCTCATGAGTAGAACATATGAAGATTGAGAGAAAGACTGTTTTTGGTTGCCGGTCACAGTTGTGTCTCTAAGGGTTCAGCTGATTTAATTGACTTCATCATGGCTAAGAGTATGTACAGGTTTCGCAGTCCAGCACTCACTGCCATGCACCACCGCAGGCGCTTCAGTGATGTAAGTAGACTTAATGTATGAAAGTGTGAGGAAAAATCAATCATAGTGAAATGTGTGAGTTTGTGTGTTTATATAGAAGGCCAAGTGTAAGATTGTAGACATAATGTGTTGGTGTAATGTGTGATTGCGTTACTTTTTACTGTAACGTGTGCTGATGTTTTACTTTTGATTTCGTTTTTAATTATCATTACCGATTATTCTCATAGATTTTTCCTCTCATGATGTAATTCAGTAATGAGAATCATGCTGTCTGATATTATCATTATGTATAAATACTTTACAGTTTGAATAATATCTTAGTGTATTTACAAGAGAATGTTTTGTTGCGTTATGGTAATTCAAATTTGGCAGAAAATTGTCATGAAAATGTGAATTTAAATTTCAATTATTGACCTTGTTTCAAAGATAATTGTAGATTTGAATTATGATCATATATTGATCGGATGGTTTTGAGTCATACATACTTTCATTGGATCTGTACAAAGTGTACTGTGCACGTTTGTGATGCAATAGTGTTATAGGATGTCTTAGTTGAGAAAGAATTCTCACTCTTATATTGAGAAATGTCAAATTCACTGCTTGGTTGATTCAGATAGAAATAGTATTTCTGTCAAGTGTACATTAGCTACATGTGAGAACCAGATGTCCCCATAATAATAGAAGAACTTGAAATGACCTTTATAATGGGACCTCCCAACAGTTAATCAAATAAGGAGACTAATTCATGTCTTAATTAAAATCTAAAACTGCACTAAGGTTTCCGGAAAGGGTTAGGTTTAGGGATAGGCTTTGGGTTATAAAGATATTTAACTGGGTGTATCTTAAACTTTAGGCACTCTTATGTCCCAGGGGTTGATTTATATTAAAATAGTATATTAAACAGATTTTGTATATCAAGGTTGCATCAAAACTGCCTCAGCAAACTTTTTATCATGTGTTCATTAATTATATTTGGTATACCTAGTTTTTTGTGTCCTATTCCCATGAAAATCATTGTAAAAACTGTAATAATCTAAAAAAAAAAAAAGTCAATTATTTTTAATAATAATAATAACAATACATTTTTTATAGTAATTGTGTGAAGATATTTTATATTAACTTTTCAAAAATGGTTTGTTTTAAGAAAGCTCTCTAAACGTCAACAGGCATGAAAGTGTCCATTGTTAAATAAACACCCAGTTAGATTAAAGGGGTCATATGATGCTGCTAAAAAAAACATTATTTTGTGTATTTGGTGTAATGAAATGTGTTTGTGGTTTAAGGTTCAAAAAACACATTATTTTCCACATACTGTACATTATTGTTTCTCCTCTATGCCCCGCCTTTCTGAAACGCTGTGCTCTTTCCATTTAAAATTAGAGGCAACCACTGCATTTTAATCATGATCCAAACAAAGATGCTGCATACATGCAACATGAGCAGTTTTTAATAATAAATAAAAAACAGCGGATGAGCTGAATGAAACGCAGATTCACTCTCTGCCAGCAGGTGGTGCTTAAGCCCTTTCCTTGGTTTCCGCTGTAAACAAAGGAGCGCTGCACTTATGAACTTTAATATGCATTATACAGAGGCAAGATTAATAAAAACAATACCATCTAAACTTTTCTAAAGACAGTAAGTTCACCTCAGACATGCATTCATATAAACTCCTACCCCTAAATGAATCGCGATTTGTTTAGCATCTCAACCGATTTGAATCGTCACATATTTGAATCGATTTTCAACCGGCTCACAGTTAATCGTTACATCCCTAGTGAAAGCCGATCCGGCGATCCATAGTGCGAAGTTGATGTATTTCCTCAGCGACCACCACGGATCAGAGGCATGACAAAGCAGATATCGTCCCCTTTTGGAAGACCAAACAAAGTAGTTTCACTTTCACAACAAAACACACAGCGCATTCACGACATGGCGGCCGTGACAACAACAATACTACAGCGAGAATAAAAGTTACGCCTTCTTTCTTTGCGTGAACATTTGGGCGGCGTTATGCAAATCTTGCCACATCGTGACGTAGATATGTGGGGGCGTGTTAGAATGAGACGTTTTAGGTAGGCGTGGCTGACTCTTAACTTTTATAAAGAATATCTCTTTGGATTTGAGACTTTAGTCTTTGCAACTTTACAGATCATCTTTATGCACCAAGAACTTGTAACACTCCAAAGAGAAAGAAAAAATCGCATCATATGACCCCTTTAACATAAAAACAACAAGTAAATTGTAAGTCACCACAAATGTGTGTGTGGTGTTTGTGTTTGATGAATCAGCAAGCCATATGGAGAAACACATTGAAGTTCCAGTTTCAGTACAGCGCTTTGTTATATTGAAGTCATTTAAGGTACTCTGAACTGTGTAAGTGTGTATTATATAAGTGCAAGTTCACAACTGTGTATGTTTGATTTCTTGTTGAGAGAAATCAGTTACTGGCAAGGATTTTGCAGAGTCCTACCTGACTCTGCAGTCTTATCAGCATTAAACATGAAAAATGGTGCTGCATTCTGACAAACTAGATTTTTAAAAATCTTTTTAGTAGTGTTTGCCTTTGCAAAATTTGCTGCCAAGTTGCCAGGGCGTTGTTATGTGTTTGCAGGGGTGTTCTGATTGGCTGTGGTGTTGCTGTTAAGTTACAGGGGTGTTCTGATTGGCTTTGATGTTGCTATGTGGTTGCTAGGTCATTGTTAGATGGCTGTGTGTTCTGATTGGCTGTGGTGTTTCTGTGAGGTTGTTAGGACGTTGTTAGATGGTTGTAGGTATGTTCTGTTGCTAAGAGGTTGCCAGGTGGCTGTTGTGTTGCTACAGTATGTTATGTTATCCCTAAAATGTTCATTTTTTTAACTTTATTTTATCATCTGCCAGGGAAAACCCATTGACTTAGAAAGTGCAGGATGAGTTACGTTTAGTATTTAGGGTAGGGTTATATGTGACATAAGTGTCAATTTTTTGAAATTGAGATTGATATATCTGAATAAATAAGCTTTCCATTGATGTGTGGTTCAATATTAGGACAATATTTGGCCGAGATACAACTATTTGAAAATCTGGAATCTGAGGGTGTAAAAAAATCTAAATATTGAGAAAATCTTTAAAGTTGTCCAAATGAAGTCCTTAGCAATGCATATTACTAATCAAAAATTAAGTTTTGATGTATATATGGTAGGACATTTTCAAAATATCTTCATGGAACATGATCTTTACTTAATATCCTAATGATGTTTGACATTACATTTTTTTTTATAATTTTGACCCATACAATGTATTGTTGGCTATTGCTACAAATATACCTGTGCAACTTAAGACTGGTTTTGTGATTCATTCAGGGTAACATATTTAAATGCAAAGCATTAGCAAACATGCTAATAAGCAGGCAGTGATTTCTGAACAACGTTCCCTTTAATTCATATACGTTCTTATGGTTTATTTTGAGCTGTGGGCTCAATGATATGACACTGCAGCTGTAGCTAGTCAGGTCACATCCTTCATACGCACAGCTGCTCTGTCTCCGTGCTAAATTATGCTGTTTCACAGTCTTCATCTCCCATTGAGATGAACCATATGATAGGGAGGAAGGACATCTGATCGTCTGATGCACTGTTGATCATAGGATCAAGGCAGGGATCTCCGTCCATTACTGCAAAGCCACTGTCACTGAGAGAGCCGAGAGTCGTTCTCATGTTAAGTGGACTCACAGACTGTCAGATCTCACTCTTTCTCATTGTGTTCATCCTCCTCTCTCTCCCCCTCTTTTATCTGTTCCTCCTGGTTCTCAGACATCAGATATATTTGCAATGATAGAGCGAATACAGGTGAGAAGTCCACATTTTCATCCGGTCTGTGCAACTTAAGACTGGTTTTGTGATTCATTCAGGGTAACATATTTAAATGCAACGCATTAGCAAACATGCTAATAAGCAGGCAGTGATTTCTGAACAACGTTCCCTTTAATTCATATACGTTCTTATGCTGGTTTATTTTGAGCTGTGGGCTCAATGATATGACACTGCAGCTGTAGCTAGTCAGGTCACATCCTTCATACGCACAGCTGCTCTGTCTCCGTGCTAAATTATGCTGTTTCACAGTCTTCATCTCCCATTGAGATGAACCATATGATAGGGAGGAAGGACATCTGATCGTCTGATGCACTGTTGATCATAGGATCAAGGCAGGGATCTCCGTCCATTACTGCAAAGCCACTGTCACTGAGAGAGCCGAGAGTCGTTCTCATGTTAAGTGGACTCACAGACTGTCAGATCTCACTCTTTCTCATTGTGTTCATCCTCCTCTCTCTCCCCCTCTTTTATCTGTTCCTCCTGGTTCTCAGACATCAGATATATTTGCAATGATAGAGCGAATACAGGTGAGAAGTCCACATTTTCATCCGGTTTTGTGTTTATTGCTTTTCCTGCAATCTCTCGCTTTTTATGACCTCTGACCTTTTTTAACCTGCAATATGGTGACACCTTCCCAGTCTTTGCCTATCATTACTGACATCTGTCGTCTATATGTAAGGTTCTCTCTTAATACGTCACTCATTCACTTTAAAATGTATATATGTAGCTTGTGCTCTGTCATTAAACTCTTGAAAACAGTGTTAGAAATATAGTCCATGCAAGTACGCAAACACTTGGTCAGCACATTTTAATGTCTGTTGAACTTAGTGATCCATCATAATTTGAGCACAGAGAGCATTTTATGCTTCTGACCATTTTAAATTAAACTATTATGAAGTAGTAGTTTAAAAAAAATAAATAAATATGTATGTATTTCTCACTCGTTTTATGTTTGCATTTTCCAAACATTCAAAACTGTCCGTTTTTTTTTTTACATTTAAGCAAGATAAAGGCTGTAACACACCTAAAAGGGGTGATATAATTTCTTTTATAGCTGTTATTTAATTCTATATTAATTTATATTAAATTAATTTTAAGTATATTTATGCCAATGTCCGTTATTGCTTTAGAAGCTTGAATACTTGCGTAGAATATGTTTCAGGCCTAAGTGTCTTTCTGTGTAATGTTTGTATTTAAAATTTTTGTATATATTGGCCATGTTTTAATTTTTTGAGAATTATCAAATGTATATATTATTTCAAGTTATTAACAAATGCTGAATTTTAATTTCTGGTATTTACTGTTCTAATAATGTATATGAATTACATTAATTCAATTTGATTTATATTTTTAAATGAACTGTATTTATTGAACATCTTCACCTTTTTTGTGAACACAGAGCAGTAGAATGGACGAGCAGAGGTGCACTCTTCCACCTCCTCTCAAAGTAAGTGTGTATATTTAGAGCCACACAAACAAGCATCAAGTAGGGATGCACGGATAGGATTTTTTTTGGCCGATACCGATTTTAACAAACAACTATTGGCTGATTCTGATACCGATATTGGTCAATTGCATAAAGCAGGCTTAAAAACGAGAAAGAAAAAAAAGACTGGTTCACTCCAAACAGAATCTGTATTTGAATGTTTCTGTTCCTGCGTTCCTCTGTGAATCCGGTTTGAGTAGAAAACATACCGGTTAATAACGTTTTTTTTTTACTTTTTCTTTGCCAATAATAATAATAATAATAATAATAATAAAGTACAGTGTTTAATTTACTCAAAAAGAAAAAAAATCATGGAGAGTCTTGAATGATGTCTCTTAGTCATAGCCAATATAGCATCATCTTTTCTAGATTTATCAAAGACCAAATTTATTAAAAGAAAAAACTGTCAACACAATAAAAACATTAAAAAAAAAAATGCTACTCCTATAAGCGTTAATTTTGAGTGGAAAAAACAGCCTAAATTAGTAGGCTGTTCATTGCATTTTATTATTACATTCAGAAATAATGTAGGCTAAAATAATGGTAAATAAAAACAAAATTACAAACACAATTAGGCTATTTTAGTTCCCTTCTCTCCACAACAAATCCTCTAAAGTTGTATTTAGGCGAAATATAAGCGTCAAGCCAAAACAAATTAATTTAAAAACGAAACTGAAGCCTACCTCTCTCATTCTGCACGAATCCAAATGTTTCTATATTAGCGAAGTGTCTGGATGCTACTATTATTTATTATGTAAACTATAGGCTTTGTTCTTCACTCGCATTATCGACGTTAAGCATCATCCTTCACATATAGGCTAAAATCAGCAGTGAGGCGCTGGTAACACTGAACGGCACAGACTGTACTACGGACTATTTAAATTGAGCAGTGTAACTTTTTATGTTTCTTTAACTGTATTTTATTTTGATAATGAACAGGCTGCAATGTCAAATTAGCAAAAAATTGTTGTATGTGCGTGTGAGGCGCCGACGCGATCACTGCATTGTTTTCCCAACTGTTACTCCGTAATTTATGGTCATACCAACGCTGGTTGGTCATACAGATAGAAGCAAAACATCATTCAAAACTAAAGCTTTTGTAAAATAAAGATAACTGCTTTCTGCCGTCTCGTTTGTGAACTTCGGAGTGCGTAACAATTATCCGAAACTCAGCACAATTTATTTTCTTTCGTTTTGTTAATCCGTTAATTATTTAATTAATGATTTTGCCTATATATTCCTTTTTATGTAGCCTATATAGTTTCATTCTGTTTTCTCCGTTCACAGAAATGCTGGCGGTGCGTGATGTGACCTTGTGTGAATCCGTGTTCTACACTGGTTTCAAACAAAAAGCTGCATATTACCTGCCATTCATTTTCACTTAAATGTAGGCCTAATGCTTGGCGGTTCGTGTATTTCACTCGTTGGATGCGTCAGCGTCACGTTTGCATATGGCCGTACTATGCCGTCTGACAAACTATATTTTGTACAGATTTTATTTTGTTTTGGCAAGTATTTAATTATTTTGCCCAGAGAAAAACGTTGGATTATGCAACAGACATGCAACTCGTTGTCTCAATGCAGTTAATTTAAAAAACCATCGGTATCGGCCCTTTTCTCCCTATTTCCGATATGCCGATGGCTTTAAAATAATAAAAAGTCGGATGATAAATATCAGCGACCGATACATCGGTGCATCCCTAGCATCAAGTGTTCTAGTCATTACAGTCTGTTTTCACAGACACTGCGTTGTGTTTATCACATGTGCACAGAAACACACAGTATTGCTTTTGCCACAGATGGATGTTTTCATATTAACCCTCATTCTCATAGCTTTAAAGTTAAGAAAAGCACTGCTGCTTTAAAATGTTGACATTTTAATGCATCTTAATGGCTCTTCTGACATGAAGGCTGGTTCAAAAGTTTGGCAGCATAATTATTGCCTATTAAAATACCTTTTTGCCAAATTGTAAGGCAAAATGCATTGCATGTAAGCTTAGTGTAGAAGTCTGAAATGATGGAAGTCTTATTTAAAATACAAGTATTGTTTTTAAAAAAGTGTTTAAATGAGCAAGCCTCTTTCAGCATCTTGTGCCATAAGTATTGCATTAAAAATTAAGTTCAACTTTTGTCATGCTGCAGATCAGTGTCAATTTTAATTTACTGCTACTATCAGAGGAAAATAATGGTAAATAAAAACACAATTACAAACACAATTAGGCTATTTTAGTTCCCTTCTCTCCACAACAAATCCTCTAAAGTTGTATTTAGGCGAAATATAAGCGTCAAGCCAAAACAAATTAATTTAAAAACGAAACTGAAGCCTACCTCTCTCATTCTGCACGAATCCAAATGTTTCTATATTAGCGAAGTGTCTGGATGCTACTATTATTTATTATGTAAACTATAGGCTTTGTTCTTCACTCGCATTATCGACGTTAAGCATCATCCTTCACATATAGGCTAAAATCAGCAGTGAGGCGCTGGTAACACTGAACGGCACAGACTGTACTACGGACTATTTAAATTGAGCAGTGTAACTTTTTATGTTTCTTTAACTGTATTTTATTTTGATAATGAACAGGCTGCAATGTCAAATTAGCAAAAAATTGTTGTATGTGCGTGTGAGGCGCCGACGCGATCACTGCATTGTTTTCCCAACTGTTACTCCGTAATTTATGGTCATACCAACGCTGGTTGGTCATACAGATAGAAGCAAAACATCATTCAAAACTAAAGCTTTTGTAAAATAAAGATAACTGCTTTCTGCCGTCTCGTTTGTGAACTTCGGAGTGCGTAACAATTATCCGAAACTCAGCACAATTTATTTTCTTTCGTTTTGTTAATCCGTTAATTATTTAATTAATGATTTTGCCTATATATTCCTTTTTATGTAGCCTATATAGTTTCATTCTGTTTTCTCCGTTCACAGAAATGCTGGCGGTGCGTGATGTGACCTTGTGTGAATCCGTGTTCTACACTGGTTTCAAACAAAAAGCTGCATATTACCTGCCATTACTCTCTCTCCAGGCCTTGTGAATATTGTATAGTTCAGGGTTTGTTTGGAATCATGAGTCTCCACAGGTCTCTTTATTCACCTTCATATTTCCTTCATCTGCGGCTTAAAGTGACTCGAATGAGAGGCTCACATTGTCTACATCTCTAATCTCTCTCTATTCCTCCCACAGACAGAGGAAGATTACATTCCATATCCCAGCGTCCATGAGGTTGCAAACTTGTTTGACAGCGCGACAGCCCCTCGCGGACGACTGTCGCGCATAAACAAAACCAAAATAAACTCCAGGCCTGGTCCTCTCTCGTCTTTCCCCCCTTGTCCTGCATCACAGGTTAAACTGGAGACAAACAGCATAGCCAAGATCTACAGGAAACACTTCCTGGGCAAGGTGAGATTCTGAATTGACAAAGATGTATTTAATTATTAATTTGATCAATCTATCTGTCTCTCTATCTCTCTATCTGTCTGTCTTGTTATAGGCAATAGCCAGTATAATTGGCAATATTATATTGAAAATATTGATATTAATGTAAAACAAACAACCACAGTGTGCAATCTGGTATTTTATATAGTAAAGTCAACTAAAATCCCACCATTTCACACTATTTCAGCCTCATCAAACCAATGAGTATCATTTAAGAAGGTCAAATATCGGCTAATACAGTATGGTATGTTATAGTCGCTGATATATTATGCATATTTGTGGAGAAAATTAATTCTGTTTAGTGCTGTCAAGCGATTAATCGCGACTAATCGCATCCAAAATAAAAGTTTTTGTTTGCATAATATATGTGTGTGTTCTGTGTATATTTAATATGTATATATAAATACAGACACATACAGTGTATATTTTGAAAATATTTACATGTATTTACATGTCTATATTTATATTCATATAATTTATATTATATATAAATATATTTAATATTGTAACGTAGGGCTTTGTTTGGCTTTGTTTGGCTTTGTTCTGCTTTATTTATTTAGTGCTTTGGCTTTGTTTTTGTTTTGTTTTGTTCTGTTTTATATATTTTTTATTTATTTATTTTTGGTTTTGTTTATCGTTTCATTCTGTTTTGATTCACAATCAGTAAAGAAAATATATATAAAAAACATTTTTCGATTATTTTTCATTTAGATTCCTCAGATTTTAGCTTCCTATTCTTAGCTACATCAACTTTTGGTTACCTGTTGAGGGTGGGTAAATATAGATAAATACATGGGCACATTTAGGACCAACCAGTAACATTCTGAGATATTGTTTTGTCACAGTTAGTGTTAGTTTTGGGTGTATTACCATTTGCAGCCCCCCAGAGATGCTTGGCCACTGTGTTATGCACTGACCAACAGCGTGCTCTGTTAATTAGCAAGCAAACCACACAGTGCAAAGGACTGATCCTGGAAAGCCTTCTGTTGTCATGCACGCTTTACTTTTCTCAGAGAGAGAACATCACCTAGGGGTTTCAGCACAGACTGCCCTTTTACAAAGCTGGCAACTAAAACACACCCTTTTCAGTACGGTACCTCAGAGGCCAGCGATAACATATGGGTACAGACTCATCACCTGCTGCTTTTTAATTGCTATTGTATGAGATATGGGATGTTATATGAGAGCTACAGTATAGCGATATGCTAATGTCCTCCAGACTGGCACTGACAAATGTGCTTTTGCCTTGAAATGGTTTGTTTCTAAAACACCGTTTTGAATATGATGTTTGCCACAGGGCTGCAAACATGCTTCGATATGTCTCATTAATTTCCTGAACACTTTGATGATAAAGACAAGCCGTTTTCTTTTGAACTTGTGAATGTCTGTGAACTGTTTTCTGTTATGACAGCACTCTCTAATAAGTATTTATGAGCAAGCTGTGAAGACAAGCGAACGAACGGTTCAGCTGAGGACAGCTAATCGGATAAACCTTTGAAGATTTATAGAAGATAAAACTGACACCCTGCAGAATGCTTTTAATGTTTTGTTGCAATGTTAAATCAAGTATAAATGTAACTATTGTTCTGAAATTTAGGGCTTTGACATCATTGGTGCAGTAAAACACTCGGCCCCGCCCCTCTCGTCACAAATATATAAACATATTTTCCTGAAATATATACATGCATGTTTGTGTATTTATATATACATACTAAATATACACAGCACACACACATATATTATGTAAACAAAAACTTTTATTTTGGATGCGATTAATCGCGATTAATCGTGTTTCCTTTTTAATTCTTAAAGCAACTTTGAGGTTCTGAAAGGCACTATATGAAAATAAATAATAATTATTATTATTAAGAGTTTTTTTTTACGTATCTGTTTTATTGATCTATGCTTTACCTGACATATTAACATGTGTTGAGGTATAGTTGACAATAAAGTTGATCAAAATCACATCAGGGCTATTTTCTCACCAATTAACAAATTGATAGATGATTCTTATGAGAACAGGAGTGTTTGTATTGGTTGTTTTGTCTCATTATTGCTGTTATAGTCATCTTAGTAGTAGTAGCAATACTCTTTGTGCTTGCTGTCTCTCAGGGTCAGAGCTTTTAGGAATCTGTGATAATGTAAAGAGTCTTTCAGAGGGTTTATGCGTTTATAACTCTTCTCGCAGGAGCACTTTAATTATTACTCAGTGGACAGCACTCTGGGCCACCTGGTCTTCTCGGTGAAGTATGATGTGATTGGAGACCAGGAGCACCTTCGACTGTTGCTTAGGTACGTCAAACACACACTCTTGACTATTCCCAGATGAAAAAAGTATTGCTTTGATGTTTTGAATGCTGTGTTTCTTTAATAACTTTGTTACAGATGTTCCTGACATACCTTAGGAGGTATATAACAATAAATTGTTGATATACAGTATTGTAAAAGTATAGAGTCTAGGAACAAACCCTTATTCCCTTTCAATGCTACTTCCATTCGATTTACAAATCCTTCCTCAATTGAAATCCAGTTCAAGAAATTGAATTGGAATTTAAAAGATATTCTCAATTTAGTTCTGAATGGTGCACAAATCTGTCACAGACACTTTTCTTTTTAACGAAACATTTACGTCCACTCTCTCCTGTCACATATTCTCTCATTGTTCATTTTCGAAGATGTTCTAACTTAAGTACTCAAAATAGGCAGCAGAAACACAAGGTCACATCTATTCTTTATAACCCAAATCCTGTCTCGAGGCCCTTTAATGATGGGGATGGGAACAAGAGACAGTGTGCATGTCAGAGAGAGGTTGATCTATAAAGCCTCTCTTTTATACAGGGAGCTCTTCAGGGACTCTTTGAATGTTATGTATTGGCTATAAGATAATTGACAAGGGCACCTGTGAATGCTGGAGTGATTCACATGGCAATTTTTCATAGTTGAACTACCATCCATCTCTCTCTCTCTGTCTCTCTTTGTCTTTCCTGTTAAATATAACATTTACATTTATATTAATGCATTTAGTAGACGCTTTTATCCAAAGTGACTTACAATAGAGGAGCATGAGCAGTTTGTCTCAGACAAATTAACAGAGAATGTGTTTGTGAAGTAGTTTGGTTATAGTGTTATTATAATAGTTTGTAATGCTGAAAGTAACTATAAATCTTCTGTTTTTTTTAATTGTAGGTCAAGGTTTAAAACCTACCATGATGTGATACCAATTTCTTGTCTGACCGAGTTCCCTAATGTTGTGCAGATGACGAAGGTAGGACATTAACATAAATAGTTTAGCAGAGAAGAATTTTGCATGGCTGTCATTGGATAAAAAAAATTATAATAATTAATTCAGTCAATTGCATGACATGTAGATGAATTCAATTAAAATGTTATTTATTTGTTATTTTTATATATATATTTTTTGCAATTATATTTATGCATTCAATTAATTTAATTTGAATTATTTGAATGAATCAATGTTTGCTGAGAAAAATCCCATGCAAATCAGATATTAGAAAAGGTGACTTTGAAGTTCTTTTATTAATTTATCGCCATGAGAAAAAAGGTAATTTATTTTTTTAATTAATTTGAACTAAATTAAGATGTTAAATTCACAGCCTTAGTAATCAGATAAAATAAGAAAAAAATTAAAATTAATTAATTGAGTCAATTGCATGACATGTAGATGAATTCAATTAAAATGTTATTTATTTGTTATTTTTATATATATATTTTTTGCAATTATATTTATGCATTCAATTAATTTAATTTGAATTATTTGAATGAATCCATGTTTGCTGAGAAAAATCCCATGCAAATCAGATATTAGAAAAGGTGACTTTGAAGTTCTTTTATTAATTTATCGCCATGAGAAAAAAGGTAATTTATTGTTTTAATTAATTTGAACTAAATTAAGATGTTAAATTCACAGCCTTAGTAATCAGATAAAATAATGTGACTAGAAAAATGTAAACTAGATTAATCACAATTTTTTTTTTCAAGCTTGTCTGTGAAGAGGTGAATGTGGACCGATTTTATCCCATCTTATACCCAAAGGTAAGCTGGGGCAGAAACATAAAAAAAATGAATGAACAAATCGTGGGTATATTACCAGTCAGAGCCTAAATGCAAAGAACTGTAGTGCAACAATATGTAGTGTGCTTTATTTACATGAAAGTAGAATGATATACCTTACAAACTGGCATAGCAGTGTTGGTTATGTTCAAATATAAATGTACAAATATAAATTTTTCAAACACATGGTCTATTTTAGTTTTCAGTTCAGGTTTCGCTTCTGGCCAGTCTGTTCGAAGAAGTGAATCTTAAATCAGTTGTGCAGACTTACAGGCAGCTTCCTCTTATTACTTCACAGTTTTGTTGTCTTGGTGTGACTTAATTTCAGCTCCAGAGGAAGAGGCATATAGGAAATGACATTGTGGCTATTGTGTTCCAAGAAGAAAATACACCATTTGTACCCGATATGATTGCATCAAATTTTCTTCACGCTTATGTAGTGGTTCAAGTGGAGAACGCCTGCACTGATAGCGTCCTCTATAAGGTAATTAACCTTGTTTGATTGTTTCAAAATGAAGCTTGAGCCATAGATTTATGTGAATAGTGTATTTCTAATAGGAATGCTTCACATACTTGATTACATACAATGAGTGACTCAGTTCTAAAGTAGGTTTTTTTCTCTACACATTGATGTTTTCCACTATAGTAAAACAACTTGTTAAACAATGTGCTAAAGACTTTTTTATTTAGAAGCTTTACTGATATCAGTCATAATTTCTTTTGTGATATTGTAGGTATCTGTGACGGCAAGAGATGATGTGCCTTTCTTTGGACCAGCCCTCCCAGACCCAGCTGTCTTTAAAAAGGTACATCTTTTCAGTTTGTATTCATGTAATGTGACTAGTTCCACGTGAAATCTTTGCCCAAAATTGGAACAGCTGTTTTTACTAAATTCTACACATCCTTCAACCACTGATGTTCATTTGGTTTATTCATTATTTTTTCAGATGCCAATAAGTGTAAACAAGTACTTTTAGTTCAGCCTCACTTTATTTAAATACTTTCTGGATTTTCCCCCTAAAAATCAGTGTACAAAATGTGGAAAAACTCAATTTCGTCTAATTATGGCGGTGACTACAGGAATGTCTCGTTTGATTTTTTTATTATGCGTAAATGAATTGGTAAAGCCTTTTATAAAATGCTGACAAATTATATGAATAAATATAGTTGTAATAAAAAAATAAAAATTTAATTTTGCTGAAAATGTACTCAACCTCAGGCCATCCAAGATGTAGATGAGTTTGTTTCTTCATGGGAACAGATTTGGATAAATTTTGCATCACATCACTTGCTCACCAATGGATCATCTGCAGTGAATGGGTGCCGTCAGAATGAGAGTCCAAACAGTTGATAAAAACGCTTCACTAGTCATAAATTCATGAACTGAGGTCTATTATTATAGATTATTGTGATGTTTTTATCAGCTGTTTGAACTCTCGTTCTAACGGCACCCATTCACTGCAGAGGATCCATTGGTGAGCAAGTGATGTAAAGCTACATTTCTCCAAATCTGTTCCCATGAAGAAACAATCTACATCTTGGTCTGAGGGTCTTTCAGCAAATATTCACTTTTAGGTAAGGTATTGCTGTAATCGTAAGTGATATGACTGAATTAATAAATAATTGAACTAATATATAATTCACCTATAATTTTATCTAAAAAAAAATCCAATTTAGGAACCGTTCTTTGTTTAAATCTAATTTAATCTCTGTTCATTGTGTTTTGTGTAGAGTCCAGAGTTTCATGAGTTCCTCTTGACCAAACTGATCAATGCTGAGTATTCCTGCTATAAAGCAGAGAAGTTTGCCAAGCTGAAGGTGAGAAGGGCATACATGTTTGTGTTTGCGTTTATTTGTGTGGAAGCATCTGCATGCATACTACTGTACATTAAGTCTTTGTTCTCCAGGAGAGGACACGGTCTGCTCTGCTGGAGACTTTATATGAGGAGCTACACATGAACAGCCAGTCCATGATGGGACTGGGAGGAGATGATGACAAACTGGAGAATGGAGGAGGAGGAGGCGGCGGTGGCTTCTTTGAGTCTTTCAAGGTAAAATCCATTTGAATCTCTTTAACTAGCAAAAAGGGTTTGTATTTGTTTAATTAATTACTGACAAAATGATGCGTATGTATAACAAAAGAGTTCTGGTGAATGGCAGAGATGAGTTTTGCATAATTTGCATACTGTGCATTCTATATGTGAGATTAGAATTGTTGCATCCCATATTGTAGAATGTTAAAATCAGCATGATATTGAAGTATGATTTATGCAGTATACACTGTAAACTATATGTCAAAAAATGTTGGGGTGTTTTTAAATTAGGGGTAAGTATTTTTTATGTTTTTAAAAGAAGTCTGTTATGCTCACCAAGGCTGATTTATATAATCAAATGCATTATGCATTAACCTTGTTTACTATTTGAATATATATATATATATATATATATATATATATATATATATATATAATTCCTGTGATACAAAGCTGAAATTTCAGCTGCTGACTTGGTGTTAAAGAATTGTTTTTTTTTATTGAATACAGGTGTGCTGCTTAATTTCTATAAGGATTCTTTGATAAATAGAAAGTAATGCAAACAATGAAAACAGTATTTATTTGAATAATAATGTCATTACTGTCACTGAACAATTTAATTCATTCTTGCCAAATAAAATGCAGTAATTTACTCAAGTAATAGAAAAAAGTGCAGTAGAAGTGAAATACATTGCATTATAGGATACACTCACATTTTGGCAAATGAAGAAAGTCACCTGGTGTTCTTTGCGTATTGAAATTGTTTTGTACTTCTGACAGTAGGTAATTGTAAGTATGTAGTATGCTAGTCAAATCATACTCACTTTCTTGGTCCTTTACTCTCTCTAGCTCTCATATAAGCAGTTGTAGTGCCCTCTAGTGTTGGCTTGCAGTGATGCAATGCATTGTTTTTCTCTTTCCAGCGAGTAATCCGCAATAGAAGTCAGTCTATGGATGCCATGGGCCTCAGTAACAAGAAACCGCACACCGTCTCCACCAGCCACAGTGGAAGCTTTGCACACAACCCCCCAGACACCCCCAAAACACCCGGCATTGTGAGTATGAACACCCTTGTGACCCAGAAATGAATGCAGGCTGTCATGAGAAGCCCCAAAACAGTGTGGCAGCTTTATTTTGTGCCAGTCTTCATGCCCTCTGACCCCCGTCGTGCCCTGCGAGTGGGTTTAACCTTTGAGTGCGTGTGTCGTCATGGCTCACATCATTTGTGAGGCTTGTGCTGATGGTAGACCAGGTCTTCTCCTGCCATTTCTGATCTTCATCATTTCACCATTACAAAAGAAAAAAACTGATGTGTAATCCGCTCTTATGATCTGGTCGGTGGAACAGATGGGGCTCTCCACAAGTGACCGTCCCGTCTCCATTGCTATGACAACGAGTGCAACAGCAATAACTGAGAGAGCCTCTCATGACAGGCTGCCATAACTGCCTATTAGCCATCCTAATGTACTAATGTGTCTGCAACAACTGTCACAGAAAACCAGATAATTATCAAACGTGTGTGCAAACCTATAAACTTGCAGACAGCTTTGCTAAACAGAGATTTTTCCATCTGGACCTGTTTTCAAGGTCATCTAGGCTGCACTGTAATGCATAATGCACAAATCTGAACACCAAATTAAATCACTCATCAAGCTCTGATGATGTTGAAGGGCTATTTTTATTTTATTAAAAATAGAACCCAGTTTCTGCTGTTTCTTAGCTGATATAATATTTGATGTTTTGTGTTGAATCATAAATCTACCATCACCCTAATGATTGATAGTAGACACAGCAAGCTGATTTACACAGAGAATTTCATACACGGTGGTCATTCAAAGGGCTTTATTTAGGCATAGTAATAATAAAAAGACATAAAAGTCGTTAAAATCAATAAAAATAAAATAAGAATTAAAATGAATAATATCGAAAAAAGAAAGAAAGTGCATGAATGGAAGATATTATGTAGTGGCTAATAATCTGAATCAAAATGTGATTTCTCCACAGTCCTTGATTATTCCTGGGAAAAGCCCAACCCGTAAGAAATCTGGTCCATTTAGTTCCAGGAGGAGCAGTGCCATTGGGATTGAGAACATACAAGAAGTTCAGGAGAGAAGGTAACTTCTCGAAGTTGAAGCCCTTTTATTAATTTATTCAAAAATACATACATACAAACATTGACTTAAAAAGAATATTGTCAATATATGTCTTTGAAAAACGTCAAGGTGGATATCTGGTCTTAATAACAAAGGGCAGACATTGTCATAAGGAAAACCCTTAAAGTAGTTTAGCATAATTGATTACTTGTTAGAAAACCATAAAGGAAAAGTAACAAAGATTAGAATCTAGTGTGTATTAAATGTGTACCTTTTTATTTTAGGCTTATTAAATATGAAAAATGCAGTTCAATGAGAACAATAATTAAGATGAGTTACTCATTATGTTCCAGCAGTCGAGAGGTGTCCCCTAGTCCACAGAGGACATCTGATGGTGGACACACCACTCAGGACTTCAGATTAGACAACTCGTCCAGTCAGAGCTCCCCTGAGATGCAGATCACTAAGATTGGGTGAGCACCAGTGAAAACACTGACTTCTGTTTACTGTATGGATGGCCAGTTTTTCCATGCATTTTTCATATAATCTGATCTTTACATTCCTGGAAAGGTGTCTATGATCATGTGAAGTAATAGTTTTCTTTTTTTTTTTTTTTTTTTTTTTTTTTTTTTTTTTTTTTTTTTTTTACTTTTTAACATTAGATTTGCTTTTGTGGTGTTTTTTTGGAAGAAGTCTCGTATGCTCACCAAGCCTGCATTTATTTGATCATAAATACAGCAAAAACAGAAATATTGTGACATATTATTATGATTTAAAATAGCAGTTTTCGATGTTAATGTATTTTAAAATATCATATATTACTGTGATGGCAAAGCTGAAATTTCAGCATCATTACTCCAGTCTTTAGTGTCGTGGGATCCTTCAGAATTCATATTGTTATGCCACTCAAGAATCATTTCTTATTATCAATGTTGAAAACAGTAGTGCTGCTTAATATTTTTTTTCCTCACAATCATTTGAAATATAATTTTTTGTAACCTTGTACAAATCTGTCACGTTTGATCAATTTGATGTTCAAAAGTAAATTTTTCCTGAATACAGGTATTCATTTCTTTCAAAAAAAAAAAAAATCATACTGACCCCATGTGCATCAAAATCATATTTTCTTTGAAATTCAATACCTTTGCACTGGTACTAGTACTAGTAAAACATAGTTTTTTATAATCTTTATTTTTGTCTATTATCTATATATGTAATATCCTCAAAGTTGAATAACATGTTCTTGTGTGGTAAGTAAATAGCCTAACCTGAGGTTATAGGTGACTTGTTCAAAGGGAACAATAGGTAGTTGCTCACGGGCCGCTCCTTGTTAGGTTCAGACTTTTTATTACCCTCTACATAAAACCACTCCCAGCAGCAAAGAATAGATATTTACTGTATCATATTTGAGTTCAAACGTCACTATTGTCAGTGAGTCATTAGTAATACATCTACTTTATACTTCTCTGAATATGTTGAGTAATCACACCTGCAATCACTAAACATGACTATGGCTAGTGCTATCATAACATACTCCATTATCATTATGCAATAGCAAAATACAGCCCAAACAACACCTTTTAATCATATGGACAGAGCAGCTAGTGCAAATAATTAATCTGATGTAGGTAGTTTCCAGGTGCAAAGGTCAATAAGTGAGCTGCTTTTGCTTTTAATGTGCAGCTGATGTGTGATACAGTAATTGAATCAAATATACCTCAACCAACTTTAAAAATATTAATGCATGTAAATCTTTGACCATATGCATTTAATAATGGTTAGTTAAAGGAGTGGTTCACCCAAAAATGACACATTTACTTGCCCTCAGCCCTTTAAAGATGTTGATGCGTTTGTTTTGAGACCGCTTTCAGTAATTTCACATTTTTAGGAGAACCGCTTTTATTTGACCTCATATATGTGCAAATGTATGTGTTTGTAGTTCGGCCCTGTGCTGTCGAGCTCCCTCGATCCCTGAGTCTCAGGATCTGTCTCGCTCCTCGTCCAATGCCAGTAGCTTCACCAGCGTGGTGGAGGAGAACGAGCAGGAACATGAAGTTACAGAGGACTATGACACAGGACTGGTGCGGTCACATACACATATGACTCACATACACATAATTGATCAATACATGACTCACATTTAACTTAAAAGATAGGTACATTGTGGTCAAAATGTAGGCAGAGAACACCACTTGTATTTAGACGCCCATACTATTCGCGGGCAAATGCATACAGGCGTAATGGAATTTGCATTTAATTGTCTGAACAGAAGTATCAATACACCTATATGATTTGGCAAGACTGGCTGGTTCTGTTGTTTGCATATGTTTTTCATTTTTCTGGAACATAGGAGAGTCTGTCTTCAGCCGGTACGCCTCACAAACGAGATTCGTTAACATACAGCAGCGTGTGGTTGGAAGACGGCCCTGGTACTACTAGTCAGAGCAGTTCACACGGTGAGACAGAACAAACATTTCACCTCCCAACAAACCCAAGCACATTTCTATTATACTAAAAGGATTACGTAATGATCATTTATGTGTTCGACTGTTCGATTTTCGTGCAGGTAAAATGCTGCATTGAGGAGATTATCTTATGTGCTCACTATACTTTGAGATGTCATTCAGAAGAGAGATAAAAGCTATTTTTAACCTGTTGCACCCATAATTTGCAACTGTACTTCAGTCTGTGAAGTATGAGCAAATATTATATCATAAAAAAGACTAAGGAAAGAAGGACACCGCAGAATATACATGATGAAATTAGAGACAAGGCCCAGATTAGAGCCAGTGTTATTTTAGTATTTACTTCTTTTTATTTTTAAATACTACTGTTTTAGTATTTATTCATATTTTGAATTAGCTTTTATTTTTATTTATATGAGTTTTCATTTGAATTGTTTGAGTTTATATTGTTTGTAATCGTGTTAAGGCTTTAACGGTCATCTGTTTCACTATAGGTCCCTTTCGACAGCAATCTGAACCTCGTCCTAAAACAGAGAGACAACACTCGGTAAGAACATGCTAGTCATGAAAATGCCATCTATATGTGACCCTGGAGCACAAAACCAGTCTTAAGTCGCCGGGGCATATTTGTAGCAATAGCCAAAAATACATTGTATGGGTCAAAATTATAGATTTTTTTTAATGCCAAGAATCATTAGGATATTAAGTAAAGATCATGTTCCATGAAGATATTTTGTAAATTTCCTATTGTAAATATATGAAAACTTAATTTTTTATTAGTAATATGCATTGCTAAGAACTTCATTTGAACAGCTTTAAAGGCGATTTTCTCAATATTTCGATTTTTTTGCACCCTCAGATTCCAGATTTTCAAATATTGTCCTATCATAACAAACCGTACATCAATAGAAAGCTTATTTATTGAGCTTTCAGATGATGTAGAAATCTCAATTTCGAAAAATTGACCCTTATGACTGCTTTTGTGGTCCAAGGTCACATCCTACAGGCAGAGCAGAATAACAATGTCCTAGAAAGAAACGGTCATGCTTTGACTTTAAAGGGGTGATATAGAAAACTATTGATCAGTTTATAACATTATTCAAGGTTTATTATCATCTTCCACCCTGCATGACCGTTCTCTCTGTACCTGTGTAATTGCTTTTGAACATCAGATTTAATGTAGTTTTTCTTTGTATTTGTTTTGTTCTGTGTGTGTTTATCCTACATAGAACTGCTAGCTGTCCTGTAGGCTGTAGATGACTTCATGGATGTCCATCAACAGGTTAGGAACAGTGTGGACTGTATGTTAGGATGATGTGTTTATTGGGCTTATATGGCTGTGTCGTTTAATTATATTTGCATTGTTATAACTCTTAATGACCTAATTTGATCCCTTTTTGTTAAGTTAGTTGTATTGCTGTTTGCAATGTAGCATGACATTTAGAAAATCACACTAGCGTTCAAAAGTTTGGGGTCAGCAAGATATTTAAGATTGATTTTTGAAAGAAGCTGATACTTTTATTCAGCAAGGATGAATTACATTGTGACAGTAAAGAATCCTGAAAAAGTATCACAGTTTTCACAAAAATATGAAGCAGCACAGCTGTTTTCATCATTGAGAATAATAAGAAATGCTACATGAGGCGCAAATCAGCATATTAGAATGATTTCTGAAGGATCATTCAGCTTTGCTATCACAGGAATACATTTCAATTTAAAATATATTCAACTAGAAAACTGTTCTTTAAGCTGTAATAATATTTCAGTGTCCACTGTTTTTACTGTATTTTTGTTCAAAGAAATGCAGCCTTGGTGAGAAAAAGAGACTTCTTTCAAAAACATGATGCAATCTTGTAAAACGGTAACACGGATAGTTCCGGTCCTTGATTCTGATTGGTTGAGCCGCGCTCTAAGCTGTTGTAAATTACTCTACAAACATACACCTTTGTTTACGTCTGTGTGTTGCTCGGCAACCACTTTGTTGGAACCACAGCCATTTCTGAGGAACTACATACTGTTTGTCGGAAGAATACTGTTTTTTATTAATAACCGTTTTATAAAAGCAATAAGCCCCGTGAAGCCGTGGTTTACAGTGAATTTATAACAGCTAGTGATGTGACATGTGACATGTGGCCAAGTATGGTGACCCATACTTGGACTTAGTGCTCTGCATTTAACCCATCCAAAGTGCCTAAATCTTAATTTGATTACTCCATCTGATTATATGTACATCGATAGACCACGGCTAACTGGGAAAGGAGGTGGCCTTGCTGTTATCTTTAGATCAGATGTATCTGTAACTGAAATTGCCACTCTTAGTGTAACATCATTTGAGTGTATTGCTTTCAGAGTGAATTGTGCCTCCCCTGTTCTTATTCTGTTTATTTATCGTCCACCTAAATCAAATCCTCTGTTTATTGAGGAATTTACTGAACTCCTTGCATTGGTTAGTCCTGTTTGTTCAGATATGATTCTGGTTGGTGACATTAATATTCATGTGGATAATTTAACTTGTTGTCAAACTGTACATTTTCTGGAGACACTTGAATTTTTTAACTTGACCCAGCATGTTAATTTTCCTACCCATAACAAAGGTCACATACTCGATCTGGTGTGTTCTGTTGGCGTTGACATCAAACAGCTTGATAATCATGAGACTTGTATTAGTAACCATAAGCTTCTTACTTTTAATATACCTGTCTCTTCTACAATATCATCTTCTCAGAAAAGAGTAATTAGGTTTAGGAATGTTAAGAATATTGATCCTGATAGTTTCTCACGTCTGATTTCTGAGCATACTCTACAAACATACACCTTTGTTTACGTCTGTGTGTTGCTCGGCAACCACTTTGTTGGAACCACAGCCATTTCTGAGGAACTACATACTGTTTGTCGGAAGAATACTGTTTTTTATTAATAACCGTTTTATAAAAGCAATAAGCCCCGTGAAGCCGTGGTTTACAGTGAATTTATAACAGCTAGTGATGTGACATGTGACATGTGGCCAAGTATGGTGACCCATACTTGGACTTAGTGCTCTGCATTTAACCCATCCAAAGTGCACACACAGCAGTGAACACACACACACCGTGAACACACACACGGAGCAGTGGGCAGCCATTTTTTACGCTGCGGCGCCCGGGGAGCAGTTGGGGGTTCGGTGCCTTGCTCAAGGGCACCTCAGTCGTGGTATTGAAGGTGGGAGAGAGCTCTGTACATTCACTTCCCCCACCTACAATCCCTGCCGGTACGAGACTCGATCCTGCAACCTTTTGGGTTGCGATTCCGACTCTCTAACCATTAGGCCACGACTTCCCCAAGAGCTAAGGGGCGTTGTTAGGCACGACGCGAAGCGGAGGCTTATTGCTTTATTACCAACCCCCAACTTTTCAACTGTATATATGTATATATTCAAAAATCTTATTCTCATTAATCATTATTAATTCTGTCTTATTTTCAGCATTTTCATAAGTAGCCCTCTGCAGCGGACGCTCGACGTGTTCACAAGAGTTCCTGTGGAGACACGGATGTGAAGGGGAGTGAACTGCTAGTTCCAGCCTGGAGGCGTAGTCGGGCAAGTGTGCATCAGAGTATCAGCGCGCTCTTATAAGGACTCAACTTGTAAGGACTCGGCCAGCAGGCAACAAATCACGTGTGATTATGGCCTTATCATAGGCTGCTTTCTTTCTTTCTGTCTGTCCACAGTGGCCCTCATTGTGTGGGTTTGGGTTTTATTAGTCATATTTATTTATTTATTGAGTTGATCTTTTAGTAACAGGGGTGGGTAAGCTGTCACAAGCTTTCGGCATCTTTCAGAATAACAAACGAGGTTCAACCTAAACCAATCATGCTTAAAATACACATGAACCCGCAAAGCACTGTAATACACATCTATGTGTGGTTCTCTTTTGTTGCCTTTTGTGTCATGATGTAGTGATGTTGAAAATGAATATAGGTAAATGTTAAATGTTGTTCTTCGGTGTAGTTCTCTATCTTCTGGTGTCGAGCACCCAAGCCATTTCCAGTCCCGTCCAATAAATGAAGCGTAGGCATTATAATTTATGATCAAATGAATAGATCAGGTGTGAGATGCTGTATACTTTTTAAATAGTATTTATTAAGATTATGCTGTTTTACTGATCAACATATTTTGTATGGCCACAGCTGTTTGTGGTCAAACTGACACGTGTGTAAACTGTACACTAATGTAGTAGCCTCATGTTTTAAAGCTAGCAGTGCGGATTAAATCATCAATGTCTCTCATGTTTTGTGGTCCAAGGTCACATATAGTCCTACAGGCAGAGCAGAATAAAAATGTCCGATATGTTTTTATGTATACCTTTTAGCTTATATGACAGGTGAGCAATATGAATGTGAAACTGCAGACACATATATGATGGTGGATATGGATCATGGAAAACACTAGGTCAGAATATATTCATCCAAAGCTTTATGTTCGATAGCAAATGTTGGGTATTTTGTTTTCAAACACAAATGCGTGTTATATTGATTACAAACAAAAATGCCCATTTTAGATCATATAATCAAAATAATATTTTAGTTTTTAAACATAGCACTATGGTGTTAATGCTTTCACATTCATCTCTATAGCTTATCAGATACAAACTTTGACTTTTTTTTTTTTTTGAGGATTTTTTTGAGGAACTATCCTAAGCTGTGACATTAAAACAAACTGGCAAAATTTCAACTCTTAATCAAATTGCATATTTACAAATTGTTGCTTGCAAAAACATTTTAGTCACTTTTACAGCTCCTTAAAATAGTTTTTTTTCTGTGTGATGCGTATTTTAAAGAATACTATGGTATTACTATCATAGAAGATGGCATTACCACAATTTCATGTCCAAAAACATGAAAATACCTTTTTTGTAAGACTAATTTCCCAATTCGCTTCTAGTTTGAAGAGATTTTTTTTTTCTTATAAATAATGCTGTTTGGATGCTTTCAGGGGTGATGCTTCTAAAACAGTTTATGGAAAAGTGAAAATATTTTTTGCCTGGCTGAATCCATACTTTCGCTGTGTCCGAGCCCTAAGTCTCTACTGATTGGTCGAACTGTACATAATGTGTTTGCACATGCTAGAGACATTAAGCACAAACTCATTCCAAACAAACACCGACCGCTTTCTGCAAGTGATTGTGTTCTCCTTTACAAGTGCTTATTATGCTACTTTAATGAAATGTTTCATTGTAAATACATTTTCTCCTTTTTTTGTAATAAAACAAAATAAATTGTTTATTAAAGATCAGAGGGGTTCATGTAATGTTTATTGTTTGCTGTAATGTACATTATTATGGGGGGAGAAAAATACACACCCAAGACCATCACCAATTATAAAATGAAATTTTCAGTCATTATTATTAAGGCAACACAGAATGAACATTCATGGCTCATAGTTATGAAAACACAGTACAGCCTTTTAAAGCTTTTTTTGTTGTTGTTAGAAAAAAATAAACAACAGGGGTCTGTTTCATAAAACAAGTTTACTAAATAAGCCAGGCTTATTTCAGTTAGTCTGACTTATTTTGAACCAAATCAACTGACAGTAAGTCAGACTAACTGAAATAAACCTAACTTGTTTGGTAAACTTGTTTTATGAAACAGGCCCAACTACTCTTAAGCTGTAAGTGTTTAACATTATTTTGAACCACTTCAAAACTTTATAATTGTTAGCCCTTAATTTTCTTAGAAATCCTGAAACAGCACCACCGCAGCCTGAGGAGTAACTATACTGTTAAAAAGAAGAATTAATAAGAATTTGACAAACTACTAAGAAGTATTTGTTCATACTCATGTTGCATGTCGTAAGTATACGGTTTGCTCTCTTTTTCAAGCTGCATTTACTGAAAATCAACACCTCTCAAAATAGGCACTTCAATTTCTGTCTGTTCCTCATGGAAAGCTGTTATATTACTTCAGAACACAGCGCAAATTGATGGGAATGATTTTTGGGCTACTTTCTTATTCTTTGACAGTTTGACAGCACCTTGTCATTATATGGAAAAGAGCTGCTTAAACAACATGAGGGTGAGTAAATGACTCATTCTTTTTTTATGAATTATCCCATTAGTATTTTGCTCTATGCATTGTTTATTGCTAGAATGAACTAGTTGCGAGACTTAATAGGCACTTGACAGTTCTAGTCTCTCTCTCTCACAGCTCTAGGTTCCACCATTTGAAAGGGGACGGCTCTCGAAGAACGTTGGAACCGCAGTGAACTTCACCCAGCAGTTTGTGGTACGGGGCAAAGTCATCAATGAAGGTACATTTGAGGCCCAGAGGCTCCAGAAGAGAACACACCTCTGTCTCCAGAGCACACCTGCCATTCACCTTCGGCCCAAATGGTTTTGGGACGCCCAGCTTATTCCCCAACACGATCATGTTCACCTGAGGGTGCATACATACAAAACAAAGGTCAACGTAATGGGAAAACTATAATATCAGATTCCTCAAGTAGCTCATTGTAGAATATTAATGGGCATTTGGTATGATAGGTTAATGATACTTTAAGTTTTCAAGATTGATAATAGCAATGAATGTTTCTTGAGCAGCAAATCTGCATATTAGAATGATTTCTGAAGGATCATGTGACACTGAAGACTGGAGTAAGGATGCTAAAAAAAATCAGCTTTGCATCAGGAATAAATTACATTTTTAAATACAAAACATTTGTTTAAAATTTCTTTTAATATTTTACAATATTACTGTATTTCTGAGTAAGTAAATGCGGTCTTGGTGAGAAGAAGAGAGTGTGATTTGACAGGTTGATTTTTCATTAAAAGTCATAAAAATCAAAAAGCTAAAATGAGAGTGGATGTTCGGTAAGTTCTTAAACATGTGCTGTACCATGTCGGGATAGTAAGCCACAGCCCTGGAGCCGGTTTTCTCTTCTAACACCTTAAACAGGATGGGCAAATCAATGATGTCCTCATCATCCAACCCCAGCTCTTTCTTCAGCACGTCCCTGTTCCAGTCAATACAGTTCTGAGTGAAAGATTAGAAGATGCCAGCATTATTCTTTCCCATAAAAAAGACAGATCTGTCAAATCTGGCTACAAAAATATCTAGATACTGTTTGGACGCAAAACGCATCTTAATGCGTTAAAGGGGTATTGTGAGTGTTGTGTGTTTCGCTGACCTGCACGTATCGGTTTTCAGCCTGTAGCTTTTTGTCACTCAGGATCTCATTTACTGAGATGGCCTCTGGCAAACCTGTTCAGGTAAAACCGTTGGCTAGAATATGAACTGTGGTGGATGGTAAACTTTTTTTGTAACAGAAAATTAGTGAGTGTTTACCCGGAAACATTTCTGCTTTTCCATGTCCGTTGTTTTGTAAGCTTTTGAAAACTTTGTATCCGGCGTCAGGGCTAGCCAGCAGCAACCGGAATTTCTGAACAATCAAACCATTTCAGTTAGCACCGTTTTGGGTATTTAAAAAAAACACTGGCTATGTTCAGAATAAAGTACTGGCATTTAAAAATGTACTGTTTTACTGTATTTTTAATTAAATAAATGCAGCCTCGGTGAGCATATAAGAGACTTCTTTGAAAAACAAAAAGTCACAACTTTTCACTGGTGGTGTATTGTAGTATATCGGATTACCTTTCGGTCAGGGGCTGGAACAAAGGTCATGAACTCATCCACATGACCAACAACCAGCCAATCAGAGTACAGCGCTATTGGCTCTTGAACTTTCTGTGCCCACAGGAAGTCCTGGACGACTTGGGTCATGTTTCGGCCACGAGTTGCACTTAAAATTAAACACAAATAATCTTGTTTAAACTTTAGGTAATAGTTGTTTAATCAATCAAACATATATGTGACCCTGGACCACAAAAGCAGTCTTAAGTCGCTGGGGTATATTTGTAGCAATAACCAAAAATACATCGTATGGGTCAAAATTATTGATTTTTCTTTTATGCCAAAAATCATTAGGACATTAAGTAAAGATCATGTTCCATAAAGATATTTTGTATATTTCCTACCGCAAATATATCAAAGCTTAATTTTTGATTAGTAATATGAATCGCTGAGAACTTCATTTGGACAACTTTAAAGGCGATTTCCTCAATATTTCGATTTTTTTGCACCCTCAGATTCCAGATTTTCAAATAGTTGTATCTCGGCCAAATATTGTCCTATCATAACAAACCATACATCAATAGAAAGCTATATGTATGAATCTCAATTTCAAAAAATTGACCCTTGTGACTGGTTTTGTGATACAGGGTCACATATGTTGTGTGGAGACTCTTTTGTATATTTTTTACTAGATGTGGTTTCTGTAGATTTGTGGTACTTACGTAGGGAACGCCACTCCAATGATGATCCTGCCAAGTGGGTAACTTTTCCCGTTGACTGTGACTGGTGGACTAACCTCCAGGTTACCGAAGGAGTCCAGACTGCTCACCTCCTCATTCAAAGCATGCCGTGTCACGTACCCAAAATCCGGCCCCTGTGACACAGTGTTTTAGTGTTTCTATACATCTTTAGATTAGTATGTGATCATAATTTGATGCCAATTTTGGTTTGGAATAACATGGGGGCGGGGCTGGTGAGTAAATGACCCTTTCGGGGTGAATTTTTCTTTGAGCATTTAGCCGTCTTGCTCACCAGAATGGACTCGTAGGGGAAATCCTGAAGATCTCCATCACGAGGAGAGTCCAGTACAACAGGGAACTGATGATGGGGAGAGTCAATGTAGCCAAACTCAAGCTCATCCTGTGGAGTGTGTCAGAGAGGAATTACTCATCTCATATGATAGTCATCTGACAAGCTTGTCTAGCTCACAATACATCATCATATGACAGCTTGATAGTGTAAGGCACCTCTTAAATACTTTGAAAATCACTTTATCAAACTTGTAAGGGTTCCATCAATCAAACAAATAGCCTCGGTTTCACAGACAGGGCTTAAACTAAGCCAGGATTAGGCCATAGTTCAATTAGGACATTCAAGTAATTTTTATGAACGTACTTAGAAAAAAACATTACTGGTGTGCATTTTAAGATTAAACAAAGGCACTGATATATTTTAAGATCAGTCAGTGCAAGTTTCTTTCAGTTGAAACAGCTCAGACTTACATTTTAGTCTAGGATTAGGCTTAAGCCTTGTCTGTGAAACCGGGGGTTAATGTTTTAAAATATTAATAACTGGCATATACACACATACTAATTTAAAAATGTGGGTTTCATTTGATAACAAAACAGTAATATGCTGGTGCTCAAGAAACCTTTTTTATTTCTCAATATATATGTTGAAAACAGTTCCTTTTTTCAAGATTCTTTGATGAATAGAAAGTTCAAAAGAGCATTTATTTGTTTGTGTTTGTCAATTTTGATCAATTTAATGCATCCTTTCTAAATAAAAGTTTTCTTTGAAAATATTTACTTTTTATTGACTGACTGATCTAATTTTTATCCATTTTATTGATTGAATGGATTGCTTGATTGATTTCGCTGACCTGTATCCAGCGGTCGCCTCGGTTCATGTACTCATGACATATTTTCAGTTTGTAGCCACACTTGTCCACCAGGTTCTTTATGCTCTTCAGGAAGGTGTAGTTATCATTTGTGCTGCCAGAAAGACAAAAGTAAAAGTAAATCATTAATCCCCATGACTTGTTGACAAGATGAAAGACTGAGTAGCAAAAGCAAAAAAATACCTGGAAATATCTGTATCTATTTCTGGAAAATGGCATTATTTGTTAAATGATATATGAAGGGTTAAAGAAAGCTTGGACTGAATCACCTGCACACATACACCTCCACAGGTTTGAGGGTGTTTGGGGTCATGATCCAGGGAGAAACATGAAATACAACCGTATCGGTGAAGATGGGCGTTTCAGGGAAACCCTTTAAGAAAAGAATTAGTATTTAGCAGTTATTAAAGAATTATATTACCCCTCCCCCCTAAAACAATAAAATTCAGTTTTAGTCATTTTATGGAAGAGTTTGAGTGTAACTTTTATTACAAGACTGAAGTAGTTCTTGCCGTAAGTAAAATAACAAAGTCTGATGTCCTATAGTTTGCGTGAGAGATCAGAGAGTCGTCTCTTTCACTAACCTTGCCACAGGGCTCTAGTAGACTGAGGTTGATGGTGACGAGCCCATCAAAGTCTTTATCAGGGAAGCGAAGACCCTCTACAAAGAACGCCAGTTCAGTTTTGCTTCCCAGATAGGGCACTTCCTCTGTCAGCGTGTCCG